AAGAAAACGCACTGAAGTCTAAAAATGAAGTTATTGATCTCTTAAAACATGAGGATATGCAAAAGTAAATTAATCTAAAATAAATTGAAACACGCATATTTGTGCTTTTCTTAGTCAGCTATGTATGAAAACGAAATATAAACTTACAATAGATACAACTTATGTCTTACCGCTGTGTATTTTGACGTCACATAATACGAGTTGCGCATATGTTGTTGCCAGCGTTATTCTAACAAAGTTTCCTTTCAGCTGTGTATTGCACGAGACATTGATGGACGTGTTAGAAGGAACGGAATTATCATGCATGTAACATAATTTTACATCTGATTCAATCGATGATAAACATCTTTTACAGAAAAGGCTAAAATTGTGCCCAGCCTGTGCATGTACTTAGATGAAAAGAATTCCGTATGGTAGAACAAAATACACCATCTTTTAATCTCTTTTTTTGCAGCTAAACAGTTACGAACAAAAAAATCTAAATTTACCCAGGAATTCTTCCTTAGTTAAAAAAGTCATTTCCCATATGGTTTCAAATGTTGGTATTTGTACTCGCCACCATGGCGGTCTTGTTCTGAATATACTAGACGCTTTATAATAATCTGTATAACTACATGTTGACTTATCGCCATCGTTAGCAAGAGAAGCCCAATGACGATTTGAATTTGAAATGTTGACGTTCAATTGCCTTGCAACTTCTGTTTCTGCCAGATCTCCTTAAATGAACAGTATGACATACGTTGGCGTGATTTGACGTTATTGAGTGTATTGCGTAAAACGTTATTACCATTTTATAAAATTGGGAAATCATTTTTAAACGTATTAAAAGCAACTTTGTTCAACTACCAATTACAATGAATTAAGTTGGAAGAGTTTCGCATAACATTAGAATTACTTTTATTACAATAATATGAAAGCCTTTGAACGAGGAAGTCAGATAAAAAATCCATTTATTTTTATTGCACATATTTCATTTTTTAAAGGTGTCATTCAATATTTTCATTTACTGATTCCGTTTTTAATTGGAACAGCTCAGCAATTCTCTCTCATTCGAAAAGTTGCGATTGTTACGTTGTCGGAATACCTCGCTGATTATCATTGAGTTACATTTAAATGGCGGTGACAATAAATGACGGGCCGGAATTTTTACTTTTCCATAAATATATAAAGCTAGAAAAATTGCAATTTGGCCAAATTTTTTGACGTCACCAGGAGCATTTGAGCATGTTCCACCTTAAAAAAATAAATTATTGTAAAAAAAAAACAAAAAAACATGTTACAACAGGGATGCTTCCACGTCGGTTTCGTTTAACTTTTTCCGCAGTGTGTTTAAACTGGTTGTCACTCGATCATTCATAGGTGAATGGTGGTCACACGAAAAATCATAGTTTCTGAAACAAACTGTATTTCAAACTTATTGTAATTATTGTACACAAATTCTTGCTAAGAAATTCTAAAAACTGTTCGCTATTTTATTTGTTTGTTTGTTTGTTTGTTTGTTTGTATTATTATTATTTTTTTTTTATTTATCTATATATCTATTTTTGAAATTAAATACAAAATGTGAGTATTGATAACAAGTTCATTTTATTAGATGACATCATCAAAAACGACACATCCGTTTTGGTAAGATCTTAATTGTATGATACTAATATAGATAAAAATAACTTTGGCAAAAACATCCTAAATCAGGTCAATGTCTGATGATCCTTCATATCAGTTGATGTACTTATAAATTTCCGATCGGAATTCTTCGGCTTTTATTCACAACAACAAAAACAACAAAGGTTACAATAAGGTCAACTCGTGTCATTCGTACAGAAAAAAGTGTCAATATGTGAAAGAAACAAGATTTTAAGGTAAGCAACGAAAATCCAGGTTGACCAACATGACTTAATATTAATTGTGCCGCATTTAATATTAAAAGCATGCCTCTAGATTCGTGCTAATGCGCATATGTGCATGGATTTTTGAAAATTCAATTAAAAGTAACATATTGTAAAGTGAACGAAGAAAGTAATTTACACATTACAAAATTACAAATGGTACTTGCATTTTACGTAAATTACCAAAGAACGAGGTCAAAATATGCCAACTAGCCCTTACTGCGTTAGTCACGCGAAAGAAATACGGTGACAAAGTCTGCTAAATCGGTTATTAATCGCACATTACAGGTAAATTATTATTTAAATCTTGAATCTCTTTTCTTATAAAGTTTGATATAAATTGCATTAAGTTTGAATTGTCGATGCTGCTTTAAAACAGTTAAATGTGCAAAAATCATTATATATATTGTTTGTAAATGTTATTGACTCTAAAATTCATATCATACAGTCTAAAATGAGAGCTATCTTTTAATTCGTCTCTTATCCCCTAAATCGGTTTGACTGAATTGAAAAACAAATTTATGTGTAAAAGAAAAACTTTGTTATTTCCGAATGGCTCATATATTTACAATTGTAAGTTGTATCACAGTGATTGTAAAATTGTATATAAATCTCTGTTGCGCCATTAACAACATACGATGTATAAACCTTATCGTTGGCAATATACGTTAACTTAAATACAGTGTACAGCTTCTTGTCGGTTATATACATCAAAATGCGGCATACCGCGATATATATTCGACTAACGAGTTAACTCAAGTAAAATGAGTTTGCGTTATTGAGAGTCAACTATATATCACTGAATTTGTAAAGATAATCAACATTGTGATCATCACCATTGCATTTTCCGTTCATACTACGTCGACGACTTCAGCCACGATAATGACTCCGTCCACGTCAACTACGACAACGATTTTTACGACTACGACAGCTTCTTCAACGCGTATGAAAATATTACAACTGCAAATTCGGTTACGAATACGACAGCACATATTACATATACGATAAACTGCAAAAGTAGTGACATTGACCGTGGCTATAACGACTATACGAAGAAACTGGGGGCGAATCCGACAACGAGTTAGTACGATTTCTATGCGACAATGACAACAACGACAATAACTATAAGTGTTACATTTTCTACGACTAGAAGTACGGGCGAGTACGACTGCGTTAATGATGCTAGTGACAATAAATTACGCGATAAAACCGACGAGTACGACTACGACTTTGACTAGGACAATGATCGCTACGACTTCTACAACTACGACTTCTACAACTACAACTTAATCTACTACGTATACATATACAGCTTTGTCTTAATCGACTACGACCTAAACCATTCTACGAATTTTACGATTACAAGTACACCGAACAATAATTCCTGTATTCACGACAACCCTGACGACTATAAACACGGCTACATCTACCTCGACTATGCCTATGACTTCAATGACGACATATATGGCTATGTACACTGGTTATGTAGACGAATACAACTACAAATTAAACGACTATGAGCACACATACAACAGTGACGACTGTAACTGTGGATGCGACTACTAAAAAGGCGCCTACAACCCTTCGACAACGACAGCGTCGAAGGAGACTCCGGTGATATATTGATACGATCTAGACCTCGGCGACAACTACAATATTGGCAACGACTGACGTAGACATATGATTGACTATGAAGGTGACTGCTTAACAGCTAGCTACGGCGACAACCACACAACCAGTAGAGATAATTTTCTTGTCAAATACAGTTTATAAATAATATAAAACTATAAAAAATAAAAAAATAAATAGTTTTAAAGACGGTTACCTGTTACTTGTATGTTTATACACATCACACTTAAAGAAATACAAAGAAACAATTTCCAAACAACATTTTCACACCAAAAATTCATGAATACGGTTTCGTGTAAAATTAGACTTTTCTCTTAATGAATGACAATACAGAATGTTAATTAACTGTCAAGTGCCCGGATAACCGATCTATTTTATCTTTCTGTTTCAGGTAACAGGATCTAACGTACGTTGTCATTTGCTATTATGACGTTATTATACATTGTTGAGTATATGTACAATACTAAATATAATTGGGTCATTATCACGATAGTGTTAAACTTATATTTGACAAGGCGCTAGTCGGATTAGACAGTTATTTGTTGTCTTTATCATACTTTAAGCAGGGTAAAGTGAAAAATGACTTTTAAACATTACCTATATGGGCTACATTACCTTCAAATATCACTATACTAATTCTAAAAGATGTGTTGAGATAGAAATTTAAATTTATTAATGAGCTAGAGTTTTAGGAGGGTAGGGAAAATACCGGACATTACTTACGTCCTACCTGATAAGCTCCGTAAGAAAAATATATGGGCGAAATATTGATGGAAAATAATATAAAACATGACTGTATAAATCATTTTCTACTTTTTTGATTCACTATACGATGTCATTCACCCCACAAATGTCATTCACCTAACATGTGTACAAAACCCTTACCACGCTAAATACTCGTATCTTGCATGAACTTGCCCATCTTTCAATCTGGACAATACCTTTTATTTATTTTTTTTTTTTTTTTATTTTTTTTTTTTTTGGGGGGGGGGGGGTATAAAAATATATGCAGACTATATAGCGCATATTTGCATGGTCTGGTCACTTTTATGTTTAACATTAACGGTTAAAATGGTTAAATTCTGAAGAATGACTATCATGAAAAAATGTCTGCTCTGTTGATAAAAGATATAAAGATATTAAATCAAAATATCACATGTTAAACAATCATCTGTTTCTTTTTTATCATCATCATTAGTATTATCATCATCATCATCATCATTATAACATCATTCATCATTATAATTATTATTATTATTACTACAACTACTGCTACCGCTACCGCTAGCGTTATCGTTAGCATAAAAAGAACATGTTTCATCATAAATTTAGGACGGGCATACAGAGACTTAAATCTTACATAGTTCCTTTTTCACGATTCCTATTATTATTTGTTCCAATATATCATTTGTAATAAACGTGTTTTATGATAAGAAGAGTGATAAACGCATGAGAAATAACAAATTTACAAGGTTATAAATACAAAATCAAAACACGTTTGTTTTTGCGAATCGTTTGTAATTTTCTTCACAAACACAACAAGGAAAAAAAATGTTTTAAACTGCTATGTTCAAAATCACCCTTTTTAAATTGGTATAGGAAACGGGATGTTTTGCATGCTAGCGAGGATATTTAAATGTCAAAATGCAATTGAGCCTCGTCACGACAAAACCAACATAGTACAGTTGCAACCAGCATGGATCCAGACCAGCCTACGCATCCGCTTTCAGTTACTCTACTTGTAAAAGGGTTGGTAAACGAACAGGATATCTGCATATACGATATACGGAAATACGTATACATGATGATATTTTGATAGCATAAAAATAAAAATGACAAAGACATTGTTAAAGATTTGGACATCAGGTAAAGATTCATTGCACAGTCATTTACAAATTCATTGATTGTTTGTCTAGACAGAAGAGCAAACTACATTTGACCTAAACACGAAGTTCATTTTAATTTTGTAGTGTGTTATACACATGAACATCTATCATGCTTTCCACTACAGACTGGTACGCGTCATCAGAAGCCGTTTCGTAGTTTTGACTTTCTGTTGTTCCTTCTCTTTCTTTGTCAGACTGGTTTGGGTCATTATAAGGATTTTCGTAGAAGTGAAGCTCTGCTGTTCCTTCTCTTTCTTCAAAAGACTGGTTCGCGTCATTAGTAGGCGTTTCGTAGTGGTGCATCTCGGTTGTTTCTTCTTGTAAAGCCTCGTATGCTCCTTCTCTTGTTTGCACTACATTATCATAGTCGTGATCTGTCGGAATATTCTCATTTGCGTACAGTGCTGTCGAATATGCGGGTGATAAGTAATTTCTATCCCTTGATGCATCATGATCCGTCCTGTAAAAAAATGATTTGTATTTACAAATGTACACGTTTTATTTCTTATCGTCTTGAAGTAAAGAAATGATATATAGGTTGATACATTGATAGTTTTTGGCCTGAAAACGGGAAAATATTATTGCCAAACAAACAGTAGGGGGAATTTTGAGTTTTCTTGTTTCCGGACTAACACTGTTCATTCATCAAATATTTTTTTCCCTTAACAATCTACTTAATTAGATCATTGTTTGACACTTGTAATATGTAATTTCTATAGTTACTACAAAATTACTGTAAACAAAGTCTTCCCCGACACGTATGTTTTCGAACCTTTCAATTTTGTAGTACCACATATGCATGTATGTCAAATATAACAGGAAGATGAAAACAAAATATCACAATACGCTTATCAGTAAAATTTTTTCCGTTTCATTAGTGAAATATATTAGTCGCTGTTTGTGGTTAATCGCTAGATTCTTCTTGTTTTCCTTTCTGATATCAAAGAGTTGTTGTAGGAAATGTGCAGTGTAGTTTGTCTGGTAATATATATACTTGTTCAGCACATTAAAAGCTATGGTTTAATTGATTTAACAAATAGGATAAACATTAATTTAAGTATTTCACTTTGTTTTATAAATCAGTTATTCTTGAAAATGTAAATGGTTCGATATAACTATCATGATGAAAGATAACATTGCAACATTTCTTTTCAAATTACATATTTTTCGGCAATTTCCTCTTCTTTCTTCTCAACAACAGAAACACCAACGCCAACAGTATCACGACAACAGCAACAAGTAAACCACCAACAACAGCAGCCACGGGAAAGTCGATAGCATCTTTACTGTTGTTGAGTTTTGCTGAATAAAAAGGGAAATGTTAACTATTCTCAAATAAGTATAAACGTTTAACCGAACAATTAAGCTTAATATAAGATTGTCTACTGTTTTCACGGGAGAGGAACTGAGGAACACGAAGGATGAAGTTCTTATGATAACTTGTTAGGAGCTACATTTCACAATGATTTGCATCCTTATTAAAAAATAAAAACGCTAAAACGTGTCGTAATTAAGCGCAATAAATACACTAGCAGTCACAAACAACTCCAATACATCTTCACTTTTTAAAGATGAAAATTATCATTTTAAGGATTGTTTTTTTTCCAGTATATATAAAGGTTTTCCGACGAACACGGTGAGAGCTATCACAAGAACTCCTGACAAGTTTTCATGAGAACTACATCCCTGGTTTAACACTTCTTCTGGAACACTGTGTTAACACTGACATAAATGCACGAGGCCACGAATCACGACGTCAATCAGTTATCAAATAGGACAGAGTGACAAAGTGTTCACAGGCAGCAGTGTCTTTTGGGGTACGATAAATTAAAGTTAATATACATTTAAATTTAGAACCATTTTAATGGACGTACACCATCGGCAAAAAGATGTTTCAAGTTTATTATTTTATCGTCAAGTATCACGGCCAATTGTATCTTTAGGTTAAGAGGTTCATGATGGAAGGTCAATAACAATTCTTTAATGATAGTATTTAGTATAATACATACGTGATAACAAACTACGAAATAATTCCAGAGTGATGTAGTCGGCAAGTTTGAGTTAATATGATCCGATATGGCATATTCATATATAATAATAGCAGATAGTAAATTGACTTATCACGAAAACCAGGAAAATTAGTATTCAACGAACAATGAGATTGTAGTGTATACTTACCACTTTATTTGAATAATTATATTCTGAAATAAATTTGCAATATTATGCGGGCAAGGTTTTTTATTTAGATAAAAGAAAATAACACATTTATTTTCTACTTTTTGTTTTGACTATCTGTTTATATAGTCAAACAAAGGACTAATATATTATTAAAATATTTCCATTGTTATTGTTTTCTACAGAGAGCACTATTGGATCTTATGGATTCAACTGCTCGTCGACATGTAGCGTTAATTGTGCAAGCGTTTTCTCAGACTGTCATCATATTAATGGGTCTTGTCTTGATGATTTTTTGGCTGGCTGGGAAGGATCGCGATGTGATGAAGGTAAGATTTGAATTATTATAGATCTGGATAATCAACCTGGATAAATACCTTAACACAGGCCTAAAGAGTAAAAAACGACCTTTGGTAATATCACAAGAGCCAGGTCCATAAATTTGAATATTCGGTTTTGAGCCAGGTTTATAGATTTGGATATTCAGCCTTGATGATTATCATGTAAGCCCGGTCCATAGATTTGTATATTCAGCCTCGGTGAAAATCATAATAGCCAGGTTCAAAGATAAGGATTCTCAGCCTCGGTTAAAATCGTAATAGCCCGGTCCATAGAAATGGATATTCAACCTTTGTGAAAATCATATTAGCCAGGTCCATAGATTTGAATATTCAGCCTTGGTGAATATCATATTACCCTGGTCAATAGATTTGGATATTCAGCCTTTTTGATTATTATATAAGCCTGATGTATAGTGTAATATATTCAGCCCCGGTAAATATCATATTAACCTGGTCCATAGATTTGGATTTTCAACCAATTTGAATATCATATTAGCTTGGCCCATATATTTGGATATTCAGTCTTTTTGAATTTCAAACTAGCCAGGTCCATAGATTTGGATATTCAGCCTATGTGAATATCATATTTACCTGGTCCACAGATTTGGATATTCAGCCTTGGGGAATATCATATAAGCTTTGTGTAAAGATTTAGATATTCAGCCTTGGTGATTATCTAAATAAGCCAGGTCTACATATTTGGAGAATATCATTTAAGCCTGGTGTATAAAATGTAAATTTAATTATACAGCTTTCATGTATATCATATTGCCCTGGTTCATGGATATGGATATTCAGCCTTTGTGAATATCAATAAACTAGGTCCATAGATTTGGATATTAGGCATCGGTAAATATAAGATAAACCTGGACCATAGATATGAATATTTATCTGATCAGTACATAATATTATGTGTATATTATTGCAATAAACGAAATCTGTTTAACTGTTTGTACTATTTTAATAATGTGATGTTAGATTTTGGGGTAAGAATTGTGTTGAAATGTGCAGACATTGTTTATCTGGACTATGCAATGCAAGAAATGGTCTTAAATTGACGATTTTAGTGACGCTGAGTCTGACCGACAATGGTGACTTTTCACTAATTACTGGTAGATGTTAACCTGATGTACCCCTCTCTTAGTAAAACCACCGAAAGACTGTACGGTACAAGTATATATTCCTTATTGATTCAGTATGAACAATAACATGAACAATAATATTGTCTTTCTTCTAAAAATCTGCTAAAATATATTATTATGTCATATTGGATCGTGTTAACTCAAACTTGCCGACTACATCCATCTGGAATTCTTTCGTAGTTTGTTGTCACGTATGTATTATACTTAATACTATCATTAAAGAATTGTTATTGACCTTCCATCATGAACCTCTTAACCTAAAGATACAATTGGCCGTGATATTTGACGATAAAATAATATATTTCAATTTTTTTTTTTGCTGGTGATGCACGTGTATTGAAATGGCTCTAAATTTAAACATATCTTAACTTGAACTTATCGTCCTAAAAACAACAACACTGCTGCATGTGTACAGTACATATGAAAAAGCATAGAAAAATCTGAAAGCACAACCGGAGAAGTAATCAAGCTACAATATATATCATTAGAACTCGCGGATATACATGTACCTGAACGTGGTATATGTTTAATTCTCTGAATATTGAAACTTTAAGATATAACGAAACCATAAGTGCTGCAATGGTACCGTAAACAATTGTTACTTGATCAGCCCATCTGAAATCTAAATATTAATACCATAGTATATGCTACAAAAAGACCGCCTACCTTGGTCACATTTTGGTGTGTTCTTATACCTGGCTTCACAGTCACCACTGCACTCGCCATTCCTAGCATCACATATTCCAGATGAACAGTTTCCGCACACTTCCACACAATTCTTACCCCAAAATCCAACGTCACATTCTTAAAATAGCACAAAGTAATATAATAGAAACCTATTTCGCTACTATTTGGTTAAATTAGCACAATACTCTAATTGTAGTACCAGTTTAATTGCAACTGTAAAAGTTACTTAAATAAAACATTTTTTTGTAATGTAATAGAAACTCAAATGCACATGTCCCTCATTTCTCATATCTATAAACTTGCATCACTCATTGACCATGGAAACTGAATTTTATCCTTTTAATAGTATATAACACTAAGCATTAATTTGTTTCTTTTCATTAAAAAGAAATATTTGTTGTCTCAATATTACGACTCGTGAACTGATTTGACTAGTTTAATTTTAGTGCCACTGCGGCCGAGTGGCTAACGTCGCTGACTTAAAACCACTTGCCCCTCACCACCGTGCATCCGACTTCTAGCAGGAAATTTTGATTCTTTCATGTGAGGAAGCTATCCAGCTAAGCTACGGATGTTTATGGTTCTACTTAGAATTATATGAATTAGTAGTATTTCCTTTCTTTTGTCATTTAAAAACAGGCAAACTTTTTAATTGTTTTGTCTCAATAATCATTATGGATTCACATGTTTTAAAACTAGATGTTGTTTTAAAAAACTGTGCAGATTGATATGTTAAATATTAATGGCAATAATTTTGGATCTAAATTGCTCAATTTCTGTTGTTTTTTTTTACATAAAACAATTGAACAATTTGTACTTTTGTACATTTTATTAAATAATTCATTTCAAAGTTAAAAGTATGTTAACATTTGCTTCATAAAGCTGCAGCACTTATCCAAAATCTCCATCATCAAACCTTATTTGTGCGAAGTGGCTAAAATCACATTTAAAATCAAGGGAGGAACTTATACTAAAAAACACATACTTTCTGTGCACATTTCTGTTGTTTTATACCCTGGTGAACATCCTCCGTCGCACGTGCCGTCAGATGTATCACATGATCCATTTAAACAATGCCCGCATTGATTCTCACAATTTTCACCCCATTCGCCGCTGTCACATTCTGCAGAAAACAATTGACTTAAAGGATGAAGGTGTGTGCTTTTTCATGAGTTTTTAATTTGTAAAAAATGTATTACATAATGAATTTTTAAGAACAAAAATGACAAATCATAAATTGGCTTAACAGTATCTTTTAGTATGAATTGTACAGAAGTTAAAGAAAAAAAAGATAAAAAGAAGTAGCGCCGAGAAGTCAGTTCTAAGGTCTGAAATCGTACGTCTAAACTAAATATATACAATGTTGCTAGTTTTAAACTTCGAACGTTCTCTTATTTTTTGCAATTAAAAGTTCAAAGCACAAACGGACACCTGAGTAGAATCACCGGCGTTCCTCTGTCACCGATGGCGCCAGCTCTGAGATAAGGCATCCGTATCCATCATCTAACCTTGCAAACACTTGCTTCCTTTCCAACCGGTAGTGCAGTTACTGCATGTACCGTTAACCCTGTCACAAACATTCTTGCATTTTGGACTACAAAATCTGCTGCAGTTATCACCGTAATTATATATGTCACATTCTGTCACGAAAAAAAAAATGTTTATTTATTCAATGTCATCATTACTTTTAAACAAAAATTGAATATCTTAAGTTTCAGATTTAATGTGCATCTGTGACCATGGCATGGATAAACGAACTTGAATATCAGAGCAATTTAACTGAAACGATAAAGAACTATCCTCTACACTAACCTTAAAATTTAATTTTATGATGGCATGAACTTTCTTTAACATTTGTTTTTTAAGATTGGACAATGGAATTCTACGATTTCAGTTTTTAATTTTAAAATGACCAATTAAAATTCTTCTTATTTTCAGTTCTTCCTTGTAAATTCTGCAGGAAGTTAAACTGATTTCAGGTGCCCTTCTGCCGAAAAATTATCATGTAAAATTAGCGCTGACCCAGTGTTACCGTAAACAAATGTCACTCACCCCTGGCTGTTTAAACCTTAATATTAATAACATAGCATATGTTAAAAAAGATCGCCTACCTTGATCACATTTAGGTGTATCCTTAAAACCGGCGTCACAGCCACCACTGCACTCGCCATTTCTAGTATTACATGTTCCAGATAAACAGTGTCCGCACATGTTCGCACAATTCATACCCCAAAATCCAGCATCACATTCTTAAAATAGAACAAAGTAATTTAATAAAAAAGTATTATACTAGTTAGCATATATTGTTATTTTCTCTTTTTAAAAATTTATTTAGTGTCCTTTAAGTATGACTCTTGAATCGATTTGACTAGTTTTATTTTGCTGCCTCTGCGGCTGAGTGATTTATGTCGCTGATTTTAAATCACTTGCCCCTCATCGTTCGAGACCCGCCACAGTTTTCGGATTCTTTCATGCGGAAAAGCTACTAAGCTAACTTACGAATGTTAGTGGTGTTCCTCAGGTGCCAGTCCCTGCCTGAAGTAATGCATGTATAGGAGCACATTAGGTCGGTCTATACGAGATAAGCTTCAAATCGCTTTATGATAATAATGGAGCCGATGTAACTTAAAACACTTAAAATCTACCAAAACACACAAACAAACAAACAAACAAACAAGCAAGCAAACAAAAAACAACACAACATCTAAAATACAACAAAAACAAACAAATCAATTTCGATTGCAAATCGCGATAATTACAAAAATTTCTATATAAATATTTTTACTTTTTTCGCATCGTGATCCTTCCCAGCCTGGCAAGCATCCATCAAAACAAGATCCATCATTATGATCACAGTCTGAGAAAACGCTTGCACAATTAACGCTACATGTTGACGAGCAGTTGAATCCATATGATCCACGAGGGCACTCTGTACAATAAATGAATGAATAAATAAATAAATAAAATAGATAAATAAATAAATAAATACATAAGTAAATGTTCATGCATTTAAACGGAGGTACATATAATAAATGCTCGAATTGTATGAATAAGTAGTATTTTGTGCAATTTAAAGACAGCCTAACTTTCAAAAATATTTTGTTTCAATATTTATTATGGATGAACATGTTTTACAAACAGATGTTGTTTCAAGATAATGTGCAGATTTGATAATCAATATTTATGACAATAGTTTCGGATCTAAATTGCAACAAGTCCTTTAGGTTATTTACATAAATATACACACAAGCTTGCATATAAATGTGAGAAAAAATCTCTTTTTACTTGTGTCACATTTGTCGTATGTAAAACCAGGACTACAGCCTCTCTCGCAGTGTCCGTCTGTTTTCCTGCACGAGTCTTTATCGTTACAGTTACCGCTGCATTCAAGCGTGCAATTCTCACCATACGTACCATTGGGGCAATCTAAGTTTTAACCATAATATGAGTGTTAATTTTGAGTGCCAAAAAACGTCATTTTTACATCATGTAAATACATAAAAATGCTGCGCAATTATTTTATTCCCCGTCACAATCACACTGTCAGGGGAGACAACGTTTGTCACCGGAAGTTACTTACCTTTTTCATATGAAAAGAACGATTATTCTTAATATATAAAAATAGAAAAAATGAATAACAAAACGTGGAAATATCGAAATCAGACCTAGGTTTTTTATGAAAAAAAATACAACATCAATAATAACAAACAAACAAAAAACATTGACATATTTGAGGCCTATAATTGTTTATTTGTACATGTACTTACTGTAAAAAACTGTTGAACAGACATTTAACCTAATATATACATTTACAAGAAAACATGTATTGTTTGTGTATAATAAACAGTTATCTGTATTGTAGTACTTAATCGGTATGAATCATAAACGAAAGTTTTAAATATTTTAAAGTATTTCCGTGATGGGTCAATACACCGGTGTCACGATGTTATCACTATATCTTTATCTACGTGCAATCAGATTAATTTTGAAGGTCGTAACTTTTATCAGCAGTTAAGACACCAACACAATAATCTATAGACGTCATAACACTAAAAGTTCCAAACATTTCTGGCGAGACAACATATTTAGACATTCTTATCGTGAGTATTATATACTTATATGCAAATCTTTGCTCAGAATCCGAAGCTGTCTCAGTCATGTTACATACGTTATCTTAAAATCAAGCAATTTTAAAAGGATTTTATTATTTATGACATTGTCAAAATCCAATTCTCTAAATCAATTAAAAGATACAATCAAACCTATATAAACCTATGTAAAAGATAACCTTCGAATAAAAACGACCCTGTAAATAAAGGCCACTAAGTCTTCTCAACAATCTTTCATTGAAGATGATGATAAATAGACCACAGCCAGCTCCAAATAAAGACCACTTGTGTATAAAGGTTATGTTTTGTATCACCAATGGATGGCCTTCACTCACAGGTTTGACTATAGTTTGGACAAAATGCATAAATTATATTCTTAGGTTCCAAATACTCGTGCTTTCAATGAATGAATAATGAATAATAAAGATATCACATATCTGTCACAGTGAGCCACAATTAAAAGAATATTTTCTTTGCATCAAATATTTCAATAATGATTCACGATTAATCTGATTTTCATTGACATGCAACTACTAAACATACATTACTTTTGCTATAACTACAAAATACTTAACGCTACTCGGTGAAATATAAACCATGTAAAGTTGTATGAATTATATTTTTACACTTCATACCAGTATCACACAAAGGCGTTTCCAAGGTACCATTTTGACATCCGGATTTACAATATCCGGTTAGTACATCACATGGCTGAAAATCTTTGCAGCGTCCACACTGGAGTGTGCATTGTTCTCCCCAATGAGTTTCGTCACAGTCTATAAAAATATATAAGCTCTATTTCAGACAAAGCAATACAATATAAAATAGATATATCTATCAAAAAAATATATTTCAATGTATATATATATATATATATGTATGTATGTATAAAGAACAAAATATGCATGAATTTTGAAACTGTATCAGCTGAGGTTTTTTAGAATTCGTTAGGCACTTATGATAAATTTTTAAAGTCGGGAATGGAAACTGTATGTTTTCCACTTGCTTACCAATTCCACTCAAACAATTAGCATTCCAAACTCTCCATCGTTTTCATTTAACACAGTATCAAAACTGCGTATAAATGTAACTTTTAATTGCTTTTTATCTATCCAGAATTCACATTTTAAAAAAAGTTCTACAGTTAAAAACCTTTACTGTGAAAATGATCATATAGTATTGCTTTAAGGGATACAAGTTTTATGTTAATAGCGATTTTGTCTTTAAAACGCAACTAGACCTATCACTGAAGGTGATTAATACCCTAACCAGCAACTTTGACTTAAGTTTTTGAAAAATAAATTGTCTGAAGAAAAAAATGAACAATGGAGTATCAACTGTGTACAAAGAAATATTTCAATGAATTGTAATTCCAACCAGTATCTTCATATAAACTTGCAATATACACCAATTTTAATTACAATATCTCATTCATATCTCTAGTTATTGACCGAAAACCATTTAACTTTTTTTGGTAACGGTGACCTTGACATTGACCTCAGGGGGGTTCAAATGCAATACCAACTGGGGTCTTCAGATAAGCTCGCTATACAACAAGTTTGATTACAATATCTCATTCCTAACTTAGTTATTGTCCGGAAACCTGTTTCTACTTTTAGTAACGGTGACCTTGACCCAAGGTGTCCAAATGCAATACCAACCGGGTCAATGTAAAGTTGCTATATACCAAGTTTGATTACAATACCTCATTCCAAGCTCTAGTTATCATCCAGAAACCATGAAGTGGACCGACCAACGGACTGACCCATCGACCGACAAGCTGACTCCTATATACCCCCTTAAGCATCGTTTGCGGGTGTATAATTATCTTAACACCAGTCATATTCATTTGTTTGTCGTCTGCGAAATAAATGTGAACGGACATTGGACAATTAGATAATTGTAACCTACTATTTATACACTCTAATCCTGGACCGGTCCATCGTCCTTCGCAACCGGAAGTACATACTCCAGACACTCTTTCCTCAAATGTCTTGCAATGACATTCTGTTAAACAGTTAAACCCGCATTTCCCTGTCGAGCATTCTGAAAACAATTTACCATACTAACTATGAAACAATTGCAGCCTCCCACTCCATTTTAGAATTATAATGAAACAGGATAATATTGATTTGCGTTCTTTATTAACACAAAAATATCTACATTTTATAATTCGAAAACTGCCGAGAACAAGAGGTTGAATCTGATCACTTCTAATATTATTATTATTATTATTATTATTGTTATTATTATTATTATTATTATTTTTATTATTATTATTATTATTATTATTGGTTACATAATTCAAGATCCTGTATGTTGTAATTATGGCTGTTACAACACTCAAGTGAAATTTTATACACTGTATTATTATATAATTATGCTTCAAACATCAAAGACTATTTAAAATATGTACTGCAAATATTATTCCACATTACATGTAATCATTTAAATATATGCATTCTTTTTTTATTGAAAAATTTGGCTAAGACTTGATAGAAATAAATTTCTTATTACCTCCCTTTATTATCATGGAAAGTAAATTCGGTAATATCTTTACAAATAATGATTTTTGGAACTTATAATATTGATCAATATTCATTTGAGCATTATATTTATGATAAAATATCATTTTAAAAAAATTGGTTTGCAGGATATTTAATGGCTATAATAATTTAATATATTAAAATTTACCTCCGTATATTTCGAGCTCACAGATTACTGTTGCATCCCGATTTTTAGGTCTCTCTAGTTTGACAAATTGTCCTGTCGTGTGCATTGAAACTTCCAGATTTGGTGGATATTTACTATTATCCGAGTATGCCAACACAGCGTCCATCTGTTCCGTTGTATTTGACACATATATTTCATAGTCTTGTATGCGGTCTGAATAAATAGGCATCAAAAGAATCATATGCAAGAGTCTCAATAAGTAAAGCAATTTTCATAAGCTAAAATTGATATGATTCATGATAAGTCAATGTGCATTTTAAAATGAATTGATTAATTGAGTAGTAATATTTTACTTAAAAAGTCTATGTGCATGTGGAAATGAACTGAATAAAAATATTTTTTTTTTTTTCCTTATCAAAATATTAAAATTAAACGATTCTAACTAGATTATTTAACTAATATGATTACAATATGCACACGTGAAATATTATGCTGATACGACCGGACAAAACCAAGGTTTTATCTCTTTCTATAACCATATCTTTTCTAAAATTTCTAAAATTAAATTATAATAAGAAATGACTTATGAGTTAAAATATTTATTCCCCTGCTGATTTGCTTATAAGCTTAAAATAACTATAATGATTTACAATTATAATAGTTTTTAATTTGATCAAATACAAACCATCATTGTATTTGGTGATTTTGATACGATTAATAAACGCAAGATGGCCTAAATCCACGGTAACCCAATAATCGGAGTTACTCTGTTCTGTAGAAAAACAATAATCTAAAGGGCTGTTTCTAGAATCACCATCCACTACCAATGTTGCAGGATGCAGATCTTCGTCCATTGCCGCACTAAATGCTACGTTCTTCTTAAAAGCCAAATTGCGCCCTGCAGAAATTTAAAGAAAGCGAAAATGAAAGAAAACGCTTTTTGTGATATTCTGTTTCTATTTTATTTTCAGAAGGTATAAGAACATAAAATAAAGTGAATGCAAAATGTGTAAGGATATTTGTTGTGCATATCTGCATAATGTTTACTCCCGAATGCGTTCATTTGTGCATATAATTATTTCAAATCAAAATAAAATAGTGTTTGTTTTCATGTAGAAATAACGGTCGAGAATAGTTTTAATTGGGAATTAATTAGGGTGCAAGTAAAACTTAGTTTAAGATCTTTTCACACTTTGTAAGCACTGATAGTACAACAATCTGTACGTTGTATAAATGATATCTAAAAAAAACAATTACATGAAAGTCGTCATTATTTTATACTGTAAAAAATCGTTTACAATAATGATGAATCGAGCATAATATTCATTCTAAAATCTAAATTACGAGGGACGGTCAGAAAATATCCGGACTTTTCATGCTCCTCTCTTTCCACGTGCAGCTATATACACACATTATATATTGGTGAAAACTACATTTATTCGCCAATAACGTGGTGGTCAGTTTATTTTCAATGATAGCCCTGTATACACAGTATTTTGCCCTCTGATATATGATAGGTGTTTCGTCTATCATGGACTCTTTGTTAGAGGAACAACAGTCTGTAATAAAGTTTCTGGTTGCAGAAGGTAAAAATCCCTGCCGAATCTTTCAATGGCTTAAAAAAAGATTTTCTGATAAATGTGTATCACGTTCAACCTTTTACAACTGGGTTTCTCAGTTTCGTGAAGGCAGAACAAGTGTTTGTGACAGGTCTCGGACTGGGCGGCCAGCTGAGGCGGTGACCCCAACAATGGTAGCAAATGTTACAACTTTTATCAACAAAAATCGTCGAGTAATTTTGGAGGAGGTAGCCAACAAGTTAAGCATCGGTAAGGCATCGGCACACAAGATTTTACACGAACACCTAGGCATGAGCGAGGTAAGTGCTAGGTGGGTGCCTAGACAACTGTCCGCAGACCAAAAGGCAACCAGAGTAACCAATGCAAAAGTACATTTAAGTCGTTTTAATCGTGAAGGAGATAAGTCTTTGAACCGCATTATCACTGGAGATGAGATGTGGGTTCATTATTCTGAACCTGAAACAAAAGCTCAGTCAAAGCAGTGAAAACGAGCTGGTTCCCCACCTCCTAAAAAGTTTAAGCTGTCCCCTTCGGCTAGCAAAGTCATGTTTGTTGCCTTCTGGGATTCACGAGGAATGAATGATACTTACTCATTTCATGCCAAAAGGTCAAACTGTCACCGCCAAGTACTATTCTGAAATAATTCTGAAAAATCTCAGAAAAAAGCTAAAGCAAATGCGTCCCAGGTTAGCACAGAAAAATGTCCTCCTTCATAACGATAACGCACCCTCCCATACCGCCGCAGCAACAGTGGAGGTTATCAAATCTTACAAATGGCAATTGTTGTCTCACCCTCCTTATAGCCCAGAGCTCGCCCCCTGTGACTTTTATTTGTTTCCAGAACTGAAACAAATGCTTGCTGGAAAGAAATTTAAGGCCAGGGCGGCTTTGTAGGAGCACATTTGTCTCGGAGCACATTTGTCTCACGATGTGTGACTGATGTGCTCGTAAACATTCATATTTGCGACAAATTGGAAATGGGACAAAAATTGCTCTACCCGCAATAGAAAGGACACTCAAGGCACAGTTTTCTCACAGTCTTTCATAAAATTGTAAAAAGGTAATAATTATGCACGTCCCTATACCGGCTACCAGTCATTGTTTTTAGATCATTCCGGTCAATCAAAAACTTCCTGCCTCTTCATAGGAGTCACATATTAACTTACATAATATCCCTGTTCTGCATTTCACGATGAAAATTTCTACCAGTGCAGTATCCAGAGCCCAAACACATACACATATAGAGTGTCCATTCTTATCGTTATTCATTGTGGATACTTTAAGTTTTATAAATGATTGTAACAATAGTCTAAGCAACAACAAGGTAGAATCTACGGTTGCATAAACGGGACATAGTATTTTCTTATTTATTACGTGGCCATGCGATACTACTAGTACTATTTCGTGCGCAGCGATAGCTATTACTTTCTGAAGGGATAGTTATTGCATGTGTACGCAATAACTATTACGTGCACAGGCGGATTAGTACATATTCCGCATTTGGACCCAGAACGGGCTTCCTCACATGAATTGTTCGACGCCCCAAAGGAGTGTCGAACTAATAGCGGTTAGGGATAATCGTTGTTTTTTTTTAAATCACTCGGCCATGGAGGCCACTAAATGATCTCAGGAAAAAATGAGAAAACCATCCAATACGTATTTTGTTTTCATCAGAAAAAATAGCGCCATTCTCCGATAGATCCGCCATTAAAAAAACTCTTATAACTTGTATGAGTTCCTAAAATAATCTGGGTATGCCATAATTGGAATATCGGCCTCGCAGAATCGGGCGAGATGGGAAATTCCGACGAGACACGAATCGAGCTACGATGTTGTAACACGAGATCTTGCAATGTCGAAGTATCCCGTACCACGAGATGCCAAAGTAGAATATCGTGCCATGCTTCATGTTTTGTCGGACTTTCGCTTTTCATGTCGTATCTCTCGGTAAAACATCGCGCATCGCTCTTAAAGGTATGACTATGGTAAAGGAACCAGTGCGGAGCCATCTGGCTTTGTCGTTATGAACACCATTTTTTTATTAAGCATGACAACTCACTTGGTTTGTTCTCTAAAATGGGTCTAGCTATGTTTTGTAGATCTTCGAAAAACGTAAGTTTTATGTAGATTATAAAGGGAATACTATTTAGCGGTATTTGGCCTCGAAGGATTTGCTTGTCTCACGTCGACGTACGAGATGCGAAGCAGGTGCGAGATTCCAATCAGATGCGAAACGAGTCGTTCAAACATCGCCCGATTATGGTGTTTCGTATGGACATAAAGTCAACTTTTGTCTCTCTGATCCACTATGCACGAGGGTACAAATTTGAAAACGCAATGGTACAATGATGAAAATACGAACAACGATGGCAGGTTTGTGAAAATACGATGATTCGTTGACATGATGGTGAAAATAATATCGCGTTTTCATCATAATGTCATCGCAGTTTCATCATCTTACTATCGTTTTTTCACCATCGTAGCATCGTGTTTGCATCATCGTACCATCACGTTTTTACCATCGCGCCTTCATATAATCGTTGTTTCACGTTCGAATGATCGTGTTTTCTCCATCGTACCACCGCGTTTTCATTATCGTACCATCGTGCCATCGCCCTTTTACCATTGTACCACGGAACGTCGTGCTTCAGGATAGGCCAATCAAAATTCTTGAATAAGAGGTATTAAATTATATAGTTCCACTGTAGGTTTTAGGTTTAAGATTTTATATAAAAACATTTACAAACCTATTTATGATGAAGTAAAACGGCGAACCTCGATTCTAAAACAAAACCTATCGGGGGAAAATATGTAACAAATAATTCATAACAAATGACATTGGACGACAAATATGCTTTCTTGTCTCTTAAAAAACATGAGACAAAGGTGCTTTGTTGTCCCTTAAAAAACTTGATCAGAACACATATGTCACACAAATGAGTGTTTTTGGGTAGACATTTGAGGTCCCATTTGTCTCATGTGGGACAAATGCGTACGGTCTTATGTAAGACAAATGTGCTCCTACACGGCTTTGATATCTGCTGTTACAGAGTACCTAAAACATAGGTCTACGTCATGGTTTACAGCGGAAATATAAAAGCTCCCGCGAAGATGGCAAAAGTGCGTAGACGGAGGTTGAGAATATTTTAAAAAGAGTAGAAAGATTTTTTTTAAATGTTGAATGGTTTTCGAGAACGAGTCAAAAGTCCGGATATTTTCTGACCGTCCCTCGTATTGCCATTTACGTGTAATAAAGTTGTGAAAATTCGGCGAACGATCATTTTCAGATCTTTACAAAATCTAAAAAGGCGTCTATGTGACCAGGACGATAAAAATCATTGTCATCAAATACGCTCTTAGATGAATATACCATACGGAAAAACGAGTGACGAAACTGTCAGGTAAGTATCTGACTTGTCTCCTTTTACGACTGCGACTATCGTGATAATTCACAAATGTTATTGACGATTGTTTTATGTTTGACTATAATTCTTGCAAAACACAAATTCATTTCAATAATCTGTATCGATGAAAATTGATACTTCTACCATTGACCATTGAGGAATTGGTCGAACTTGACCCACATCCTGACTGACTGCACACTGACTCAAAGTTTGTTAATCTAAAACCCCAACTCATCTAAACAGCCATAATGTTTTTGTTAAATATTTAAAAGAATTAAAAAAAATGGTGCAGTGTTGATAAGGTTATTGACTTCAGTCCTCTCACCAACACATCGCTTGGTTTGAATCCCGTCATGGACTTTCTCATATGAAAATGTGAGAAAACTCTCCAGCTAATACTCAGGTGCCCAAAATATCATCATGAAAATCATGATGAAAAAAACTGTGACGTAATATTAACAAAATGTTTGATTTGTGTCTAAGAAAAAATGTAAATTTATCAATTCTTAAACAAACATGATGCATATCAACTGAGCCGCGTCACGACAAAAACAACATAGTGCGTTTGCAACCAGCATGGACCAGACAAGCCTGCGCATTCGCGCATTCTGAGGATCCATACTGTTCGCTTACAAACTCTATTACAAGTAGAGAAACTAATAGCGAACAGCATGGGTCCTGATCAGACTGCGCGGATGCGCATGCTAGTCTGGATTCATGCAGGTCGCAAACGTACTATGTTCGTTTTGTCGCGAAGCGGCTCATTTAATATCTTACCGCCGTATATTCTGACGTCACATAATACAAGCTGACTATTTTTGCTTGCCAGTTCTATTCTTACGACATTTCCTGTCAGCAGTGTACCACACGTGACATGGATGGATTCGTTAGAAGGCACAGAATTATCGTGCTGATAACACAGCCTAACTTCGGTTTCCGGTGGATAATAATTCCCTTCCCCGGCTTTATTCGCTGGGGCAGTTTCTACTGTAACTTTGAATTCTTTGAAATAATCTGAAATAACAAAGAAAATGAATATGTATAAATATGTATGAATACATGACATGTATTTACTGTGTTTGCGTGACGTAATTAGTTGAATATAATTTGTTCCTGTAAGTGAGTTCTACTCCTTTTTGGTTTCAGGACATTGAACACGAGGTTCGCAAAAAATCAAATCAACTCGTTGAATACATTATTACCCTATCATTATCTCAATATAGTATTAATTTTTTTTAACATTTCAAAAGTTTGATTTTAGCATATCTTTAAAATGTATACCATTTACAAAAGATCTGTTAAAAGTATGCTCATATGTATATTTTGAACCACGAATTTGTTGTGATGAAATGTTATACGATATTATAATAATTCTGACATTATTGAGTTAGAAACTTGCATCTGTCCTTCTATACATTGTAGGTTGACTTGGTTTTTACGTACCAGCAACATATATTTACTTGTTGTAACGATTCATTTAAGGACCAGTCATATACTCGTAAAGAAAAAGCTAAAACCCAGCGCAATGCTCACACTTCACTCACTTGGTCGGGAATGTCTCAACGGGGGAGGGGAGGCTCAAGTACGGACACAAGAATTGCTTTAAAATGTTATGTTTACTAGCTGTGTGAGTGGTACAGTAGATATATTAACTTTTTAGCTCTTTCCTTGTTTTGAATACTAGCGTTTTTATACACATTAACTGTAGTATAGACATTTCATGAGTAGGATAACATCTATTGATATCAGTAAGATAATCCCCCTTTGTTATTAGCAGGCCAAAAAAACTGGACAAGAATAACACTTATTGGTACTATGGTACGATTTTGAAATGCTTTCGATTAAATATTATTATTTTATAATTGCTGTTGTCTTTTTTTCCCCAAAGAATGAATTTAATAGTAAAATCCAATAGTATACATACGTAAGTATTCTTCTTTGGTCAGAAATACCATTTCCCATATGGTTTCAAGTTTTGGTGTTTGAACTCTCCACCATGGAGGCCGTGTTCTAGACGCCCCATCCTTCGCAGTATTAGTATAACTACACGATGCTTTATCGCCATCGTTGGCATAGCGAGCCCAACGACCTGGCTTGATATTGTCCAAATGCCTGGCTATTTCTGTTTCCGCCAAATCGCCTAAAAGATGTAATAATATATGATTTCCGTTTGATGTGCCTTGCGTACAATAGTGTAAAGATGGGGTAAAAAATTCACTGTTTTTAAACATCATTAAGTACCTTTGTTAAATGTTAAATTGGTAAAATTCTGCCATAAGATATGAATCTCAAAGAGAGAACAGAAAAATAAACAGTCATAAGAACTATCAAAAAGCTAAAGAAAAACAAACCCTTATACTATACTTACTGAGTTGACAGCCTGGTCCGTACCATTTGATGTCACAGTTGTTTTGACAATATCCTTTGTCCTCATCACACGCAGTACCATTCTTACAATGACACTGGTATTGGCAATCTGGACCAAATGTTTTCACGTCACCAGGACCTGCCGTGCATTCTCCAACTAGAAGAAGAAAAAAATCAAACCAGAAGCATTTCTGGTCATTCGTGTCGAGCATTACCAATATGGCATGTTAAACGTTGCAATATTCCTTAAATACAATTTTTGTTCTATATCCAATATTTTTATTGTATAACTCTAATTTTATATTCTATACCATAATATTTATTCAATTCTGCTGAATATTTGTTCATCATAAAACATATTTGTGTGCGATTATCTTCTTTTATATACATGTGTATGTTCTATATATTTGAAAATATATATTGTATACTTAAAAATATTTATTGTATAAATCTACTGAAAAATATTTATTCGATAATTTGAATCATGGGATAGAACACTTAGCATACCAAGCCCTGCTTATAAATTAAGTACAAATTTATGATAAGGCGTTATCATCCTCATTACACTAGACTATAGTGTAGTGGAAATGTTCAGCGTCGCTATGAATGCATATGCTTAATACTCCTTATGAATGTATATGTATGTCTAAAAAAAGGAAATAAATTTTAAAGTTTTTTGGATATAAATCATAAAATTATAATAATAATGGTTTTTGATATGTCTAATAACTTAACCACGATATGAACCTATGTGAGGATATCATGTAAGATGCATTACATAAAAATACACGGAACATAAATCGGAATATATCCAACAAGAAATATTAACAAATGAACATGTTATGCCGTTAATACAATGTGCATGTAAAGCAACCCTGCGGACGGTATTACTTTGAAGTTTGTCGTTAACGACGTTGCAAGCGCATTGTCTTAACGGAGCAGCTCTTTACTCATTGACGAAGTAGGCCAATGCATGTTTCACATGTTGTTAGTTGCGGCTGATCTATATATATTTACTCTGTTTAAGTCGGTATCATACTGTATTGTAATAGACTGTATGATTATAAATGGGCTCTTTTAATGACGCAAACTTCCATTATTGTCCTTCAGTTACATGATTGCTGGAAAATCGCACATGCCATAAACTATTATATGTCTTATTTTAATGTAATTTTGCTGCATTCAAATGTATCATACATACGAGAAAATAAAAGAATAAAACAACTAAGAACAAAATTGTTATTATTTAAAAAATAAATATAACAACGAATAACCAAGTTTGAACGGGACTGTTAAATTGTAAAAAATCACGATAAGACTATTACGCACAATAGTAAAATGATTTATACAATTGTAAACCAAGAACATAGAAATAACATTGCCCATTGCTTCTGCAGACGCGGTGGGTCCATCGAAGCGGCGGTGGAGATTTCGTCGCAGAAGCGGCGGATAAAATATGGTCGTTTGCTGCTGTCGGTAAGTTTATGACTGAATTTTGTTTTATGCTTAAATGTTTTTCCTGGAAAGACCTAGTGAGACTGAAGCCCACATATGTACTTTTATCACTTATTACACGCTCAAGGTGCATTTTTTTGCCATTTGTGCAATCACTTCTGTACAGTTTGACGACGAGACGCCACTTTTGTCTTATTTTGCTTAAAATGTACAGATGTGTGCAAAATGACCCCTAAAATCTCAAACATTACATGGTATGTATGATTAATCCACAAAACAACAATATTTTGGAACTTTTGAAAATTGTTATTTCCTTTCTTTCAAAAAAAGAATTGAACAGAAAAAAATGATTACAACGCAGACGGTGGCGATTTGATTGCAACGCAGTGCCTTTGTCCCAATACAATTATTGTCTATTACGAAGGTTTACTTGACTTAACTCTTTCCTTAATAGAGTACAACACTTCTCTTACTTTGACATCAGAGAAACATGTTTCTTTAGTTTCTTTAAAATAATATGATTATTTATGCGAATAGATGTTGGAGTTCCATCCATTGTAATTCCTTTGGTAAATTAGTTTTCGTTGAACCTGGGATTTAATTTAACAACAAACATATAAAAGAAATTCCTGTAAATATTAAGATAACATGATACTTAGATATGAAAAACAATATCAGTTTTGAATGTCACTTTGTTATATTACCATACTGAAAACATCAATTCAGTACATGGTCGCTTAGGGTTAAGTGAATAAAAATAAAAATTAAATTCATGTGCAGAAAATGAGATCGATGACCCCTAAGCTTTTTGTCTTCAAATATTTATCATATTCTAACATCATGCCACGTTTCAAGAATATATGTCGAACATTTTTAATTTTGCCTTCATGTCTTTATAATATTGAAAGTTTGATTAGACGTGCAGTATTATAATCTTAGTTATAAAGATTTTTGATAGGTTAAATGACCGGGGTTTTTTGTTGGACAGGTATATGGCCGTGTGTTGCCGAATCGCTAAGATGAGGTTCTGTTGCAATCGTTTATATACGATCATATAACCCGTAAAAAGCTTCATAGCACAATTTATAATACAGCAAGCATCTTCTTTTTATAGAACAAAAATTGATTTCTTCATAAATTGACAGCATCTGTGTATATAAAGCTATATAACTGCATTTATGATATGATTATCCAATGAAAAGCGACGTTACAAACGTGAAGTATTATAAAGTTTCTTGCATATCAGACAGGATTATCTACCGTATACAACGATAATAGAAAAACCTGTCTAACACCCCCATGCTAGACAAGTTGCTCGCTTCAAATGACGTTCAACATGACATTATTGTTGTGCTTGTAGTAATTTAGTTTTTTCTATTCGGCAATTTCTTGTTTGGTGGTTCCAGTATTCCTCACTTGAATACTGTTGAATCACCATTAGGATATATGGCCTGCTTTTTAATTTTTTTCTTTTGACGTCTTATCTGTGATATGCACGCTTCATAACCTCTGATCCCCTTTCAAAATTCCATTTTATTTAGTTCCGCCCATTGTTTTCTCGTTTAGGGCACACGCATTTTTTACTTGGGGACCATATGCCGCTTTTCATGGAATGGCACTTACATGTCACATTGAAGGTTCCATGATAACCGCCATATATCTGAATGTTTCAAAATTCTAATTTGTACCAGTTCATGTTAAATGTTGAATTTTGCTTAAGCCGGTGCTAGTGGGCGTGGACGGTAGTTTGCACTTTACAGTACCGTCCATAAACAGGCTCAATCAAACCGAGCCTACAACATTTTCAATTTTGCCGTGTTGGGCTTTCTTTAGGGATTATTATTTTCTCTATTTTCCCGCGCGCCATCTTTGAATGAATTTTGTTCTCAGGCAGACGTCATTTTACCAGTATGAATACGTTGTAATTTCATACGCTACTATAAGAGAAAAGTACGTTATAATGCGAGAAAAAAAATCAATCACCGGCTGTCGGCTGCCGAGAATATCTTGCTCTCGGGTAACTGTTTAGCGGCAACTCGGCAGGGCCTCGTTACTGCAGTAAACCTCGAGCTAGATCGGCAGCCAGTGTAAGATTCTTTTAATATATAATCATTTTGTTTGAAAGCGCTTCTCTGATGATATCAACGTAAGAAAAGGATTGTTCTAAATTGAAAAGTGCGTGATGTCAAGAGTAACCCTAAAGGCATCGGGACCACCTTGCAATTGAATGCACCGCCTTCTGCGTTGAAATCAATTTTTGTCAATTCTTTATTAAAAAGGCAATAACAATTTTCAAAAATACCAAATTATGGTTGTTTTGTGCAGTCAAACATTAAAAATATGATGTAATGCTGGTGAATTAACGGGCCGTTTTGCACACATCTGTACATGTTTAAACCTAAAATAGGTAAAAAATGCGTCCCACTGTCAAACTGTACATAAGTGTTAGCACAAATGGCAATGAACTGCATCGTGTGCGTGTAATAAGTTGGAAACGTACCTATGTGGGTTCCAGTCTCACTAGGTGTTTCCGGTAAAAAAATAAAACAAAGCAAAATTCAGAAAGCAGCAAGGCCATATTTTATCCCCCGCTTCTGCGACGAAACTCATCGCCGCTGCGATGAACCCATCGCTTCTGCGAAAGCTATGGCCAGTTTTATGATATTTGCATTAACATTTATCATTTTAAATTCCTTAGTCAGAGTTGACAACGTCAAATATGGCTCATGACATTTCGGCGTATTTTGAAAACGTATTGTGCCATATTGTTAAATATACGTTTTATAAAGCGCCTTTTGTCAGCAAAAATGTATGCCTTTCCCGGTTGTGCGTAGCCATGAGTTTTTAAACTTTTCCCTTATATAAGCGTGTTTCGACTGCTTTTTGTCTCCCCCCCCCCTTTTTTGAGGCCTCAAACAGTGAAAAAAAAACCCTATTTAGGCCCCAAACACTGTTTTTCGTTTGAGAAATGTTTTTAAAAAAAGTGACCACTTTTTCGGCGCCATCCCCAATCCAAATGTTACATGAGGGGGTTGCCAGAAGGGGGATGTGCCACCTTCTGTTTTGGGAGTTTGAAGGGGGCGGCAGTCCCCCTCATCGCCAAGACAATTTTGAACATGTGACAGGCTACAAATGGCCTCAGGTCGATCTGGTGGTAACTAGTAACCGATTCTGAAAAGCCTTTTATTCTATATCAATTCATTGAGAAGTTGCAGCACTTTGAAATCAGTTTTGATGGAAAAAAAGTGATGCAAAATAGTGATTTTTGGCAATTTAGGGACGTCCCCCGTTGCCATTGTAACAGAAAATTTACGATTGAGCATGCTGTTACAGAGGCTATGGTCAAGTCAACATTTGTGCCAAGTTTCATCAGTCTTGAAGCATTTTTCATAGTTTCATAGCAGTTTGAACTTATTTCAGGAGGCTTTTCAATGAAAAGGGCCTTTTTTGGCAATATGCTCATGGGGTAAAAAGTTAAGTTTCTAAATACTCTAGACAAAAAACAGTGGGTTTCATTTACCACTGCAGGTACGAGTGCTTTTTAAAGTTCGTATATGTTTTATTAATTATTTTCATTTGCCCATATTCTTCATAAAAAATTTTTCTACTTGTAATCAGTAATATTTGATTATATACTGAACTTCAATTTCCTCATAATTATTATTTCTAAATGAGAACAACATCAAAACAAATGTACCTACA